CGGGCCCCCGCTCCGCCTGCCGGGCCCGGAGGGTGTCCGTGCCCGCCCAGGGGCGGCCGGCCCGCTGCCAGAGCTCCCCCAGCCCCGCCTGACCCGGGGGTGCCGCTTTTTACCTCAGCGCCTGGCTGAGGCAGCCGGCCGGCCCCTGGCGGGGGGGTCACAGCTCTCACAGAGCAGACCCGTCCCAGCAGCGTCCTGTGTCCACTCCCTCCCGAGGGTAGGGGCACAAGTTTTACTTCTCTCACACAAGGTTTTCCTTCTCTCAGCCTCGGCTGTGCCTGTGGAGCCGCCTGAGAACGCACAGCCCCCCCCCGTCACGGTGGGAGCCCCCCGGGCCGCCCCCCCAGCGGCTGGAGGTCACTCTTCGGCCTGTGCCGTGTCCTGCCCAGGGTTGGGGTCCCTGCGGGGCCCCCCCGCCGTGCTGGGCCGGCACAGGGGGAGCAGAAGGGCCGGCAGAGAGTCCCGCACCCCGGCAGGGACACCGTGCTCCGCAAACTGCTCCTCTGGCCTGCAGCAGTGACGGGGCCAACCTGGGCGTTGCTACGGTTTGAAAAACCCATAACAATTTATTTTCGTGTAGACAATCATCATAGAATCATAGAATCATAGAATCATTTCGTGTAGGCAATCATCATAGAATCATAGAATCGTCTAGGGTGGAAGAGACCCTTGGGATCATCGAGTCCAACCATCTCCCCTACTCTACAAAGTCCTCCCCTACACCATGTCCCTCAGCACTGCATCTAAACGGCCCTTAAACACAGCCAGGGATGGGGACTCCACCCCCTCCCTGGGCAGCCTGTTCCAATGCCCGACCACTCTTTCGGTGAAAAATTCTTTCCTAATGTTCAGTCTAAACCTCCCCTGTTGGAGCTTGAAGCCATTCCCTCTCATTCTGTCACTAATTACCTGTGAGAAGAGACCAGCACCAACCTCTCTACAGTGTCCTTTCACGAAGTTGTAGAGAGTGATGAGGTCTCCCCTCAGCCTCCTCTTCCTCATACTAAACAGTCCCAACTCCCTCAGCCGCTCCTCAGACGATTTGTTTTCCAGCCCCCTCACCAGCTTCGTTGCCCTCCTCTGCACTCGCTCCAGCCCCTCCAGATCTCTCTTGTATTGAGGTGCCCAAAACTGGACACAACACTCGGGAAGGGGAATTGGGGGAAACAAGGTGCAGTTTTCCCAAGCGTTAGGAGAGAGGTTAGTCCTGTGTTGCTCAACCGGGATGTGGGGTTTTCATGGAGAGGGGGATCTGCCTTGTTCTGTGCCGGTGGAAGCTGCCTAGTTGATAAGAAGGGGAATTGGGGGAAACAAGGTGCAGTTTTCCCAAGCGTTAGGAGAGAGGTTAGTCCTGTGTTGCTCAACCGGGATGTGGGGTTTTCATGGAGAGGGGGATCTGCCTTGTTCTGTGCCGGTGGAAGCTGCCTAGTTGATAAGGGGATCTCTGCAGACAGGGGGACACTGCTGGGATCCATCCTGTTGGGAATCTGGCCGTTGCTGCGGAGCGGCGCGCTGGGGAGTGCAGTTCTCCAGAAGTGCCCGTAGCTGGCACTCAGCGATGCTGTTCCAGGCAGCTGAGGAGCAGGAATCCAGTCCTCCCCCTTGCACAGCAGAACAAAAAACAACAAAAATGTAGAAAGTAGGAAAGAAGCGGTTCTTTGCCTTTGGGGGCTAAATCTTTAGGTCGAGGTGTTCATGATTTCTCTGCAGCCACGTGACCACAGAGTTTTCTAGAAAGAAAGAGATGAGAATTCCAGGTGATTCATGGAAACATGGTTTTAAAACCCCTTCTAAGACATAAAAAATCATGGAATCGATCACACAGCACATTGCAGGCCTCCACAGTCATCATCACAACATACTTCCAGGTGTAACTTGCACATTTGACAAGTGTGAAGAGGGAATTTTCTTCCTATGAAGTTCGCAACAGAATCTGAAAATTAGGCTGTCCCCTTTCTGGCGTGGATCCTGTGAATAGGTGTGAGTTCATTGTCAAAACACTGTTAACGATCCTGCTTTTGAGGTGCAATCCAAGGCAGAGTCCAGCCTGCTCTGCCGCGTGCTCAGTGGGGCTAACAGCAATATCAAACGCTCCGAAAATACTTCAATTGGCAAAACCAGTGCTGTAATGCTGTGACCCCCCCCGGGGAGCGCAGCCATGGGACAAGAAGGGCTCGCTTTTGGACAGCTGCTTCTCTCAAGTCTGCCTTCTGCAGGGTTCTCGCCAGATTTCCTTGTTGAACAAATAAGGGTTTGACTTGTGAGGGGTCTGGAGAGTAAGTCTTATGAGGAAAGGCTGAGGGAGCTGGGGTTGTTCAGTCTGGGGAAGAGGAGACTGAGGGGAGACCTTATTGCTCTCTACAACTCCCTGAAAGGAGGGTGTAGAGAGATGGGGGTCGGTCTCTTCTCCCAAGTTACAGATGATAGGACAAGGGGTAATGGGTTCAAGTTGCACCAGGGTAGGTTTAGACTGGACATTAGAAAACAATTCTTCACAGAGAGAGTGGTCGGGCATTGGAACAGGCTGCCCAGGGAGGGGGTTGAGTCCCCATCCCTGGCTGTGTTTAAGAACCGTTTAGATGTGGTGTTGGGGGATATGGTGTAGGGGAGAACTTTAGAGTAGGCTGGATGGCTGGACTCGATGATCCCGAGGGTCTCTTCTAGCCTAGATAATTCTGTGATTCTGTGACTTCAGAATATCTGGATTTTCTCTATTTTGTGCTTTGGAGCAAACAACAAATGGTCCCACCAAATGGGGATGGCCGGGGAGATGCAGTTTTACTGGGCCTCCTCCCCCAAGGGAACAATGACAGGAGCAGAGGAAATGGTCTGAAGTTGTGGCAGGGGAGGTTTAGATTAGATCTTAGGAAGAATTACTTTACTGAGAGAGTGGTCAGGCACTGGAA